TTTCCTTCCTTTCCCCCCTCCCTCCCTCAAATTTCCTTCCTCCTCCCCCCCCTATGTAGTAGTGTGTTAGGAGGAGTCTGGAACTGTTACTGTCTGCATTGCTACTGGTGCAGTAGCGTATGCCTGTATTATAGAAGTGCAGAGCTAAGGCGTGGCCATGCGCCCCGTGTCGCACTGAGCCAAGGCGCGCGGCGCGCCCCCATGGCGCAGAGCCAAGGCTCTTCCCCCTCCACCACCAGGCTCTGTAGAACTCTTCCAGCCCCCCACTCCCGTCTGTAGAGACTCCCCAAATGGTAACCCTCCCGGTCTTGGCAGGTGATGGTCAGTAGGTCTTGGCTGACAGAATTCTCCATTGAGTAACAGCTACCAACAAGAAGGGGAATCCATAAAGGAGCAAACTCAACCTTTACACCTTTCAGTATTCTGGTGGCGCGCACCAATACGTGGCTCTATACCATGGGGAGGCGTAGCGGTAGCATACCCAGCTCTAGCCACTTGGTATACGGCCGCGCCTTAGCTCTGCACTTCTATAATACAGGGATACACTACTGCACCAGTAGCAATGCAGACCGTAACCGTTCCAGACTCCTCCTAACACACTACTACATACTGCACCATGGATTGTAAGCCCAGACGGCAGCAGTGCCATGTGTGCCACTCTCACTACACCATGCCTTCGGCTCTGTAATGGTTTTCCCTGCAGTGCTGAAAGCAGAAGGCTAGTGTAAGGTTACTGAATTAGCAGGAGAGGAGGGTGGAAAGTCCCCAGTACATTGGAGGGGGGGGCCATGGGTTGTATATAGAGCTGCAGTGTTGTGCAATAGGTAAACGGACGTATTTCCCAGTTCCTTGTTTGTCTTCATTTCAGGATTTCCTGTGTCTAGAGGGCCCATGTGTAGACGTTTTTTTTTTTTTTTTTTTTTTCAAAATGACCATTACTTGGCAGATGTTCTCTGTGCCAGTGTCACTGTTACCAGCCTGTGTCTCAGCCTTCTAACACCGCACTAAACATGGGTAATACACAGTAATACAGAAATAATGAGAGTGCGCATGCTGATCCTCTCCACCAGTGAATGGCCAACTTGTCCAGACATTGTTAGAAGTGTATGGCGCCCCCTACAGATTCTATGCCTTACTACAAGAGGGAAACAAGGGTACCCTGCAGATAATTATCTTATGTTACAGATGTAATACTCAATACCACTTTAACATTGCCTGGAACTGTCTCCCTGCAGGCTCCTTCACCTTGCCATCATTCACTCCATGCCAGACATCGCTCTGTATTTCACATCGCTAGTGACCAAGGACATCTTGGATATCCAGAAACAAAATATACCATCGTATTATGTGATCGTGTAACTGTAACTGCATAGTATAACGCTGTAATATCTGTATGTGTGTATATATAGTATTGTTAGTGTACGATCCCGTCTGTCTGTGTCACCCTGCAGTGGGAGGGACAGACTCCGTGTCCCATAGCTCCTTCTGTCTGTGTCACCCTGCAGTGGGAGGGACAGACTCCGTGTCCCATAGCTCCTTCTGTCTGTGTCACCCTGCAGTGGGAGGGACAGACTCCGTGTCCCATAGCTCCCTCTGTCTGTGTCACCCTGCAGTGGGAGGGACAGACTCCGTGTCCCATAGCTCCTTCTGTCTGTGTCACCCTGCAGTGGGAGGGACAGACTCCGTGTCCCACAGCTCCTTCTGTCTGTGTCACCCTGCAGTGGGAGTGACAGGACCAGGTCCCACAGCTCCTTTCCCCTGTCTGTGTCACTCCTGTGGCAGTGGGAGGGACAGACTCAAGGTGGTCCCATAGCTCCTTCTGTCTGTGTCACCTCAGTGCAGTGGGAGGGACAGACTGTGTCCCATAGCTCCTCTGTCTGTGTCACCTGCAGTGGAGGGACAGACTCAAGTTGTCCCAGCTCCTTCTGTCTGTGCCTCACCCTTGCAGTGGGAGGGACAGACTCTGTGTCCCATAGCTCCTTCTGTCTTTCACCCCGCAGTGGGAGGGACAGACTTTGTGTCCCATAGCTCCTTCTGTCACCCCGCAGTGGGAGGGACAGACTCAGTGTCCCATAGCTCCTTCTGTCTGTGTCACCATGCAGTGGGAGGGTCAGACTGTGTCCCATAGCTCCTTCTGTCTGTGTCACCCTGCAGTAGGAGGGACAGACTCCGTGTCCCATAGCTCCTTCTGTCGGTGTCACCCTGCAGTAGGAGGGACAGACTCCGTGTCCCATAGCTCCATCTGTCTGTGTCACCCTGCAGTAGGAGGGACAGACTCCGTGTCCCATAGCTCCTTCTGTCTGTGTCACCCTGCAGTGGGAGGGACAGACTCCGTGTCCCATAGCTCCTTCTGTCTGTGTCACACTGCAACGGGAGGGACAGACTCTGTGTCCCATAGCTCCTTCTGTCTGTGTCACACTGCAACGGGAGGGACATACTCCGTGTCCCATAGCTCCCTTCTGTCTGTGTCACCCTGCAGTGGGAGGGACAGACTCCGTGTCCCATAGCTCCTTCTGTCTGTGTCACCATGCAGTGGGAGGGTCAGACTGTGTCCCATAGCTCCTTCTGTCTGTGTCACCCTGCAGTGGGAGGGACAGACTCTGTGTCCCATAGCTCCTTCTGTCTGTGTCACCCTGTAGTAGAAGGGACAGACTCCGTGTCCCATAGCTCCTTCTGTCTGTGTCACCCTGCAGTAGGAGGGACAGACTCAGTGTCCCATAGCTCCTTCTGTCTGTGCCACCCTGCAGTGGGAGGGACAGACTCCGTGTCCCATAGCTCCTTCTGTCTGTGTCACCCTGCAGTAGGAGGGACAGACTCAGTGTCCCATAGCTCCTTCTGTCTGTGTCACCCTGCAGTGGGAGGGACGGACTCTGTGTCCCATAGCTCCTTCTATCTGTGTCACCCTGCAGTGACAGGGACAGGCTGAGTGTCCCATAGCTGCTTCTGTCTGTGTCACCCTGCAGTGGGAGGGACAGACTGTGTGTCCCATAGCTCCTTCTGTCTGTGTCATCCTGCAGTGGGAGGGACAGACTCTGTGTCCCATAGCTCCTTCTGTCTGTGTCACCCTGCAGTGAGAGGGACAGACTCCGTGTCCCATAGCTCCTTCTGTCTGTGTCACCCTGCAGTGGGAGGGACAGACTCCGTGTCCCATAGCTCCTTCTGTCTGTGTCACTCTGCAGTGGGAGGGACAGACTCAGTCTCCCATAGCTCATTCTGTCTGTGTCACTCTGCAGTGGGAGGGACAGACTCAGTGTCCCATAGCTCCTTCTGTCTGTGTCACCCTGCAGTGGGAGGGACAGACTCCGTGTCCCATAGCTCCTTCTGTCTGTGTCACCCTGCAGTGGGAGGGACAGACTCCTTGTCCCATAGCTCCTTCTGTCTGTGTCACCCTCCAGCAGGAGGGACAGACTCCGTGTCTCATAGCTCCTTCTGTCTGTGTCACCCTGCAGTGGGAGGGACAGACTCCGTGTCCCATAGCTCTTTTTTGCCTGTGTCACCCTGCAGTGGGAGGGACAGACTCCGTGTCCCATAGCTCCTTCTGTCTGTGTCACCCTGCAGTGGGAGGGACAGACTCCGTGTCCCATAGCTCCTTCTGTCTGTGTCACCCTGCAGTGGGAGGGACAGACTCTGTGTCCCATAGCGCCTTCTGTCTGTGTCACCCTGCAGTGGGAGGGACAGACTCCGTGTCCCATAGCGCCTTCTGTCTGTGTCACCCTGCAGTGGGAGGGACAGACTCTGTGTCCCATAGCTCCTTTTGTCTTTCACCCCGCAGTGGGAGGGACAGACTTTGTGTCCCATAGCTCCTTCTGTCACCCCGCAGTGGGAGGGACAGACTCAGTGTCCCATAGCTCCTTCTGTCTGTGTCACCCTGCAGTGGAAGGGACAGACTCCGTGTCCCATAGCTCCTTCTGTCTGTGTCACCCTGCAGTGGGAGGGACAGACTCCGTGTCCCATAGCTCCTTCTGTCTGTGTCACCCTGCAGTGGGAGGGACAGACTCCGTGTCCCATAGCTCCTTCTGTCTGTGTCACCCTGCAGTGGGAGGGACAGACTCAGTGTCCCATTGCTCCCTTCTGTCTGTGTTACCCTGCAGTGGGAGGGACAGACTCAGTGTCCCATAGCTCCCTACTGTCTGTGTCACCCTGCAATGGGAGGGACAGACTCAGTGTCCCATAGCTCCTTCTGTCTGTGTCACCATGCAGTGGGAGGGACAGACTCCGTGTCCCATAGCTCCTTCTGTCTGTGTCATCCTGCAGTGGGAGGGACATACTCCGTGTCCCATAGCTCCTTCTGTCTGTGTCACCCTGCAGTGGGAGGGACAGACTCCGTGTCCCATAGCTCCTTCTGTCTGTGTCACCCTGCAGTGACAGGGACAGACTCCGTGTCCCATAGCTCCTTCTGTCTGTGTCACCCTGCAGTGGGAGGGACAGACTCCGTGTCCCATAGCTCCTTCTGTCTGTGTCACCCTGCAGTGGGAGGGACAGACTCCGTGTCCCATAGCTCCTTCTGTCTGTGTCACCCCGCAGTGGGAGGGACAGACTCCGTGTCCCATAGCTCCTTCTGTCTGTCACCCTGCAGTGGGAGGGAGAGACTCCGTGTCCCACAGCTCCTTCTGTCTGTGTCACCCCACAGTGGGAGGGACAGACTCCGTGTACCATAGCTCCTTCTGTCTGTGTCACCCTGCAGTGGGAGGGACAGACTCCGTGTCCCATAGCTCCTTCTGTCTGTGTCACCCTGCAGTGGGAGGGATAGACTCCTTGTCCCAAAGCTCCTTCTGTCTGTGTCACCTTGCAGTGGGAGGGACAGACCTCAAGGTCCCATAGCCTCTTCCTGTCTGTGTCGCCTCTGCAAGTGGGAGGGACAGACCTCGCGGTCCCATAGCCCTTCTGTCTGTGTCACCCTGCAGTGGGAGGGACAGACTCCGTGTCCCATAGCTCCTTCTGTCTGTGTCACCCTGCAGTGGGAGGGAGAGACTCCGTATCCCATAGCTCCTTCTGTCTGTGTCACCCTGCAGTGGCAGGGACAGACTCCGTGTCCCATAGCTCCTTCTGTCTGTCACCCTCAAGAGGGAGGGACAGACTCCGTGTCCCATAGCTCCTTCTGTCTGTCACCCCGCAGTGGGAGGGACAGACTCCGTGTCCCATAGCTCCTTCTGTCTGTGTCACACCGCAGTGGGAGGGACAGACTCCGTGTCCCATAGCTCCCTCTGTCTGTGTCACCCTGCAGTGGGAGGGACAGACTCCGTGTCCCATAGCTCCTTCTGTCTGTGTCACCCAGCAGTGGGAGGGACAAACTCCGTCTCCCATAGCTCCTTCTGTCTGTGTCACCCTGCAGTGGGAGGGACAGACTCCGTGTCCCATAGCTCCTTCTGTCTGTGTCACCCTGCAGGGAGAGGGACAGACTCCGTGTCCCATAACTCCTTCTGTCACCCCGCAGTGGGAGGGACAGACTCAGTGTCCCATAGCTCCTTCTGTCTGTGTCACCCTGCAGTGGAAGGGACAGACTCCGTGTCCAATAGCTCCTTCTGTCTGTGTCACCCTGCAGTGGGAGGGACAGACTCCGTGTCCCATAGCTCCTTCTGTCGGTATCACCCTGCAGTGGGAGGGACAGACTCCGTGTCCCATAGCTCCTTCTGTCTGTGTCACCCTGCAGTGGGAGGGACAGACTCCGTGTCCCATAGCTCCTTCTGTCTGTGTCACCATGCAGTGGGAGGGACAGACTCCGTGTCCCATAGCTCCTTCTGTCTGTGTCACCCTGCGGTGGGAGGGACAGACTCCGTGTCCCATAGCTCCTTCTGTCTGTGTCACCCTGCAGTGGGAGGGACAGACTCCGTGTCCCATAGCTCCTTCTGTCTGTGTCACCCTGCAGTGGGAGGGACAGACTCCGTGTCCCATAGCTCCTTCTGTCTGTGTCACCCTGCAGTGGGAGGGACAGACTCCGTGTCCCATAGCGCCTTCTGTCTGTGTCACCCTGCAGTGGGAGGGACAGACTCTGTGTCCCATAGCTCCTTCTGTCTTTCACCCCGCAGTGGGAGGGACAGACTTTGTGTCCCATAGCTCCTTCTGTCACCCCGCAGTGGGAGGGACAGACTCAGTGTCCCATAGCTCCTTCTGTCTGTGTCACCATGCAGTGGGAGGGTCAGACTGTGTCCCATAGCTCCTTCTGTCTGTGTCACCCTGCAGTAGGAGGGACAGACTCCGTGTCCCATAGCTCCTTCTGTCGGTGTCACCCTGCAGTAGGAGGGACAGACTCCGTGTCCCATAGCTCCATCTGTCTGTGTCACCCTGCAGTAGGAGGGACAGACTCCGTGTCCCATAGCTCCTTCTGTCTGTGTCACCCTGCAGTGGGAGGGACAGACTCCGTGTCCCATAGCTCCTTCTGTCTGTGTCACCATGCAGTGGGAGGGACAGACTCCGTGTCCCATAGCTCCTTCTGTCTGTGTCACCCTGCAGGAGGGGCCAGACCCTGTGTCCCATAGCTCCTCTGTCTGTGTCACCCTACAGTGGGAGGGACAGACCTCGTAGTCCCATAGCTCCTTCCTGTCTGTGTCACCCTGCAGTGGGAGGGACAGACTCCGTGTCCCATAGCTCCTTCTGTCTGTGTCACCATGCAGTGGGAGGGTCAGACTGTGTCCCATAGCTCCTTCTGTCTGTGTCACCCTGCAGTGGGAGGGACAGACTCTGTGTCCCATAGCTCCTTCTGTCTGTGTCAACCTGCAGTAGGAGGGACAGACTCCGTGTCCCATAGCTCCTTCTGTCTGTGCCACCCTGCAGTGGGAGGGACGGACTCTGTGTCCCATAGCTCCTTCTATCTGTGTCACCCTGCAGTGACAGGGACAGGCTGAGTGTCCCATAGCTGCTTCTGTCTGTGTCACCCTGCAGTGGGAGGGACAGACTGTGTGTCCCATAGCTCCTTCTGTCTGTGTCATCCTGCAGTGGGAGGGACAGACTCTGTGTCCCATAGCTCCTTCTGTCTGTGTCACCCTGCAGTGAGAGGGACAGACTCCGTGTCCCATAGCTCCTTCTGTCTGTGTCACCCTGCAGTGGGAGGGACAGACTCCGTGTCCCATAGCTCCCTTCTGTCTGTGTCACCCTGCAGCGGGAGGGACAGACTCTGTGTACCATAGCTCCCTTCTGTCTGTGTCACCCTGCAGCGGGAGGGACAGACTCTGTGTACCATAGCTCCCTTCTGTCTGTGTCACCCTGCAGTGGGAGGGACATACTCCGTGTCTCATAGCTCCCTACTGTCTGTGTCACCCTGCAGTGGGAGGGACATACTCCGTGTCTCATAGCTCCCTACTGTCTGTGTCACCCTGCAATGGGAGGGACAGACTCCGTGTCCCATAGCTCCTTCTGTCTGTGTCACCCTGCAGTGAGAGGGACAGATTCCATGTCCCATAGCTCCTTCTATCTGTATCACCCTACAGTGGGAGGGACAGACTCCGTGTCCCATAGCTCCTTCTGTCTGTGTCACCCTGCAGTGGGAGGGACAGACTCCGTGTCCCATAGCTCCTTCTGTCTGTGTCACCCTGCAGTGGGAGGGACAGACTCTGTGTCCCATAGCTCCTTCTGTCTGTGTCACCCTGCAGTGGGAGGGACAGACTCCGTGTCCCATAGCGCCTTCTGTCTGTGTCACCCTGCAGTGGGAGGGACAGACTCTGTGTCCCATAGCTCCTTCTGTCTTTCACCCCGCAGTGGGAGGGACAGACTTTGTGTCCCATAGCTCCTTCTGTCACCCCGCAGTGGGAGGGACAGACTCAGTGTCCCATAGCTCCTTCTGTCTGTGTCACCATGCAGTGGGAGGGTCAGACTGTGTCCCATAGCTCCTTCTGTCTGTGTCACCCTGCAGTAGGAGGGACAGACTCCGTGTCCCATAGCTCCTTCTGTCTGTGTCACCCTGCAGTAGGAGGGACAGACTCCGTGTCCCATAGCTCCATCTGTCTGTGTCACCCTGCAGTGGGAGGGACAGACTCCGTGTCCCATAGCTCCTTCTGTCTGTGTCACCATGCAGTGGGAGGGTCAGACTGTGTCCCATAGCTCCTTCTGTCTGTGTCACCCTGCAGTAGGAGGGACAGACTCTGTGTCCCATAGCTCCTTCTGTCTGTGTCACCCTGCAGTAGGAGGGACAGACTCCGTGTCCCATAGCTCCTTCTGTCTGTGCCACCCTGCAGTGGGAGGGACAGACTCCGTGTCCCATAGCTCCTTCTGTCTGTGTCACCCTGCAGTGGGAGGGACAGACTCTGTGTCCCATAGCTCTTTCTGTCTGTGTCACCCTGCAGTGGGAGGGACAGGCTCCGTGTCCCATAGCTCCTTCTGTCTGTGTCACCCTGCAGTGGGAGGGACAGACTCCGTGTCCCATAGCTCCTTCTGTCTGTGTCACCCTGCAGTGGGAGGGACAGACTCCGTGTCCCATAGCGCCTTCTGTCTGTGTCACCCTGCAGTGGGAGAGACAGACTGTGTGTCCCATAGCGCCTTCTGTCTGTGTCACCCTGCAGTGGGAGGGACAGACTCCGTTGTCCCATAGCTCCCTCTGTCTTTGTTACTATACCACTTTGTTAATATTTCTCTTAAAGCAATCTATCTTGAAATAGAGAATGTCACAGCATATTTAATTTTTTTTTATTATGAGTATTTTGCAGGTGAGAAATAATATATTTGCTACAGATAAGATATCCTTATATATATATTATAACATATTCAGATATTACCCGAGCTGGTGATGCTAAAGCGCTCTGTCTGGTCCCTCGTGACAGACACATCAGATGTCTCTCTGACTGTTTATGTCTCTCTGTTTCCTGACGCTCTCTTTCTCCTTGCAGCCTGCTTGCTCCAGTCAGAGCTGGTCAATTATGAACGGGTGAAGGAGTATTGTCTGAAGGTACTTGAGAGACAGAAGAGCAACTTCAAAGCCACGTATCGCGCTGGCATCGCATTTTACCACCTGGGAGACTACGGCAATGCCCTGCTCTATCTCAAGGAGGCCCGGAGCCGAGAGCCTGCAGGTAGCATGAGGGCATGAAGGTGTCATGCCAACTCACTAACCAGGAATTTACTGTCTGCATCCCATTCCCTTGACACAGAGTATCAGTTAATGCCCAGCTACAATTACAGCAGGAGAGGAACACAAATAATGTGTGTGAACTGTACTTCCCATGATGCTTTGCACATACCTCCCAAGTGTCCCTATTTAGGAGGACAGTCCCTATTTCAGGCCCTTTTTTCTAGGCACTCTATATTGTTGGTGTGTCTGAGTGTATAACAAAGCTCCACGGCAATAATACTCCCAGTAATGTGTCTGAGTGTATAACAGAGCTCCACAGCAATAATACTCCCAGTAATGTGTCTGAGTGTATAACAGAGCCCACAGCAATAATACTCCTAGTAATGTGTCTGAGTGTATAACAGAGCTCCACAGCAATAATACTCCCAGTAATGTGTCTGAGTGTATAACAGAGCTCCACAGCAATAATACTCCCAGTAATGTGTCTGAATGTATAACAGAGCTCCACAGTAATAATACTCCCAGTAATGTGTGTGTGAGTGTATAACAGAGCTCCACAGCAATAATACTCCCAGTAATGTGTCTGATTGTATAACAGAGCTCCACAGCAATAATACTCCCAGTAATGTGTCTGAGTGTATAACAGAGCTCCACAGCAATAATACTCCCAGTAATGTGTCTGAGTGTATAACAGAGCTCCACAGCAATAATACTCCCAGTAATGTGTCTGAGTGTATAACTGAGCTCCACAGTAATAATACTCCCAGTTACATAGTTACATAGTTACATAGCTGAAAAGAGACTTGCGTCCATCAAGTTCAGCCTTCCTCACATTTGTTTTTTGCTGTTTATCCAAAAGAAGGCAAAAACCCAGTTTGAAGCACAATTTTGCAACAAACTAGGAAAAAAATTCCTTCTTGACCCCAGAATGGCAGTCAGATTTATCCTTGGATCAAGCAGTTATTACCCTACATTTAAAGATTATATCCTTGAATATTCTGTTCTTGCAAGTATGCATCTAGTAGCTGTTTGAACATCTGTATGGACTCTGATAAAACCACTTCTTCAGGCAGAGAATTCCACATCCTGATTGTTCTTACAGTAAAAAAACCTTTCCTTTGCCTTAGGCAAAATCTTCTTTCTTCCAGTCTAAACGCATGGCCTCGTGTCCTATGTAAAGTCCGGTTTGTGAATAGATTTCCACACAATGGTTTGTATTGGCCCCGAATATATTTGTATAATGTTATCATATCCCCTCTCAGGCGACGTTTTTCTAAACTAAATAGGTTTAAATTTGTTAACCTTTCTTCATAGCTGATATGTTCCATTCCTTTTATTAATTTTGTAGCCCGCCTCTGCACTTTTTCTAGTGCCATAATATCCTTCTTTAGAACAGGTGCCCAAAATTGCACAGCATATTCAATATGGGGTCTTACCAGTGATTTATAAAGAGGCAAAATTATATTCTTGTCCCGAGAATGAATGCCCTTTTTCATGCATGACAATACCTTACCTTGGCCACTGATTGACATTGCATTGTTGCATAGTTTGTTGTCTATAACAATTCCCAAGTCCTTTTCGTGTGTTGTTATCCCTAATTCGCTTCCATTAAGGGTATACGTTGCTTGTGTATTCTTTACGCCGAAGTGCATAACTTTGCATTTTTCAACATTAAATTTCATCTGCCATTTGAGTGCCCAGTCTCCCAGTCTATCTAAATCCCTCTGCAGCAAAGTAATATCTTGCTCACATTGTATTGTTTTACAAAGTTTTGTGTCATCTGCAAACACTGAAACATGACTTTCAATGCGGTCTTCAAGATCATTTATAAACATGTTAAATAGAAGGGGTCTCAGAACAGACCCCTGAGGGACACCACTTGCCACCTCTGTCAATGTTCTACCCAAGAACAAGCATTTTCATCTAGACCGATTTCCTTGAGTTTGAACACTAATCTATTGTGTGGAACTGTATCAAATGCCTTGGCAAAATCCAAAAAGATCACATCCACGGCAACACCCTGATCTATACTTCTACTTACTTCTTCGTAGAACGCAATCAAGTTAGTTTGACATGACCTGTGCTTCATAAAACCATGCTGATTTTTGCTGATAACCATGTTCTTCTCAAGGAATTCTTGAATATTATCCCTTAATAACCTTTCAAATATTTTACCAGCCACAGAAGTTAAGCTCACAGGTCTATAATTTCCAGGCAAGGATTTTGAACCCTTTTTGAATATAGGAACCACATCTGCCTTCCTCCAATCCTCCGGAACACTTCCTGAAAGAAAAGAATCTTGGAAGATTAAAAACAGAGGTTCACTTATTTCTGCACTTAGTTCCTTAAGTACACGTGGATGGATACCGTCAGGCCCTGGAGCTTTGTTTATATTAACTTTCTTTGGTTGCTGCAGCACCTTGTCTTGAGTTAACCAATTACAATTATTCTGCAAGTTTTTAGTAGCAATCATTTGCACATCTATTGCCATGGGTTCTTCCTTAATATATACGGAGGAGAAAAAGTTATTTAAAATTCCTGCCTTTTCCTGGTCTTCATTAATTAACACCCCCGTTTCAGTTTTTAGTGTACCTACACTTTCATTTTGTTTTTTTTTAGAATTTATGTACTTAAAAAATGCTTTGGGGTTGGTTGGGTTATACACTAAGACACAGTAATGTGTCTTAGTGTATAACAGAGCCCCACAGCAATAATACTCCCAGTAATGTGTCTTAGTGTATAACAGAGCCCCACAGCAATAATACTCCCAGTAATGTGTCTGAGTGTATAACAGAGCTCCCCAGCAATAATACTCCCAGTTATGTGACTGAGTGTATAACAGAGCTCCACAGCAATAATACTCCCAGTAATGTGTCTGAGTGTATAACAGAGCCCCACAGCAATAATACTCCCAGTAATGTGACTGAGTGTATAACAGAGCTCCACAGCAATAATACTCCCAGTAATGTGTCTGAGTGTATAACAGAGCCCCACAGCAATAATACTCCCAGTAATGTGACTGAGTGTATCACAGAGCTCCACAGCAATAATACTCCCAGTAATGTGTCTGAGTGTATAACAGAGCCCCACAGC